CTTTCTTTTTTATTTTTTAATATTCCCTCACTGTCTCCAAAACTATCATCAGTATCTAATTTTAAAAAGTAACTATTACTTAACTTAATCATTCTGAATTGTAGCCTTCTAGTGAAAGGGAGTCCCTTCATGGTCTAAATTATTTCAGAGGTGTCACAGCCAAAAACGAAAATCAGAGTTGGGCATTAGAAAGAACCTAAGACATTTTATAACTTGATTCCAATATTTTATAGATGAAGAAACCAAGGATCGTATATTAAATGGCTACCATGTATTAGCAGAACTGATATGACAACGCAGTGCTGACATCCAGCACTGTGCCCTCCCATATCCCCAACTCTTACTAATTAAAAAATCAATTAGCATGCATCGAAACCTACCTTGAATGTAGACTATCATATTGTGTCACTTGATGATGACAAAATCCCCTTTCTCTTTGTATTTCTGCTAAAATATTTGCTCACTCAGGGTGACGTCACTGAGAAAAATGTAAATAGGCTAAGAGAGAGGTGCAATATAGTTGTCAAACTAGGTAGGCAACCATTGGAGTGCTCATAAAATTGATGAGTAAAATTTATGAACTGTGAGAGTAAAGAATTTCTTGGTGTAAGTAGTGATTAGAGAAGCTTGGTGACACCCTCCCCACTTTCTGTAAGAATTGCTTTTTCTCTTTATGCATTGAAATGGGGAGTGAAAGATGATTTGGTAGTTGAACCTGGGACTATGTCTAATGGCATATTATCTGACTTTTTTCTTCTTTTCTTAGTTTCTCATTAGTTTGCTTTTAGCTTTCATCTTCTTTCACTGCATTAAAAATATACGTTTGTCTGATTTCATCAGTCCGAAATCACTCTATAATTCCTGTCTTTCTTTAGTTATATGCTAGCCCTGTCCAGATTGCTACACACTGAACTTCCTAAGGAGATTTTAGTTTCCCCACCTATGTATAAGAGGTCTCACCTCATGACTTCTCCAGTAATTCTTCACTTGACATCATAAAAAGGGTATTTGTAATGGCAGAGATGACTTTCTTTTAAACTTTAAAAAGACTAGCTGTCTAGGTATAGTCTAGCTTTTAGTTAACACATAAAGAATGTCTACTTTTGTTTTAATGCTAGCTTCCACTTGAGAGACAGTGACTTGGAAAGACCATG